GGATATAAAGGCAATTCAGTAGAGAAAGGAGAGTCTTTCAACAAGTGATGCTATAATAATTGAATGTCCATATGCAAAAAGTGGACTTTGACACATACCTCGCACCTTATATACAAAAATGTGTTCAAAATGGATCTTAGTCCTAAATGTAAAACATAAAGAAGAAAGTAAAGGAGAAAAATCTTTGTCACCTTGGGTTCGAAGATGAGTTTTTAGATGTATTACAAAAGCACAATCCATGAAAAAATCACCATAAAGATAAATTGGACTTAGCAAAATTAAAAAATTTTGCTTTGCAAAAACCATTGTTAAGAAAATGAAAAGACAATTCAGTTGTCAAGACTTGGAAGCAACCAAGATATCCTTCGGAAGGTGAATGGATAAATAAACTGTGGTACACCCAGTCAGTGGAATATTATTCAGCGCTAAAATGAAATGAGCTACCAAGCCATGGAAAGACATGGAGGAAACTTAAATGCATATTACTAGGTGAAAGACACCAGTCTGAAAAGTCTACATATACTGTGTGATTCCAACTGTATGACATTCTGGAAATGGCAAACTTTGGAGACAGTAAAAAGATCAGTGGTTGCTACAAGTTGGGGGAGAGGGAGGGATGAATAGGCGGAGCTCAGAGGATTTTTAGGGTGGTGAAAATACTCTGTATGATATGATAGTGGTGGATACATGTCATACATTTGTCCACACTCCTAGAATATGTAACACCCAGAGTGAACCCTAATGCAAACTATGGACTTCGGGTGATCATGATGTATCAAGGCAGGTTCATTAGTTATAACCAATGTGCCACTCTGGTGGGGGTGTTGATCATGGTGGAGGCTATGCATGTGTGGGGGGCAGGGGATATATGGGAAATGTCTATACTTTCCACTTAATTTTGCTGTGAACCTAAAACTGCTCTGAAAAAATAAAGTCTTTAAAAAAAGACATTCCACAGACTGTGAGAAAATATTTGTGAATCACCTATCTGGTAAAAGACTTATGTAAAAAATATGTAAAGAACTCAATTCAGTAGTATGAAAACAAGCAATTCAGTTAAAAAGCACAAAATATCTGAACAGACACTTCACCAAAGAATATATACAGATGACAAATCAACACATGAAAAGATGCTCAACGTTATTTGTCATTAGGGAAATGCAAATTAAAACCACAGTGAGATACCACTATGCACCTATTAGAATGGCTGAACTCCAGTGTCACTGATGATAGCAAATGCTGGCGAAGATGTAGAGCAACAGAAATTTTCATTTGTTGCTGGTGAGATTGCAAAATGGTACAGCCACTTTGGAAGACATAGATTTACCATGGTAACTACTAACTCACACAAAAGAATTGAAAACTTATGTTCACGTAAAAATTTGCATGCGAGTGTTTATGGTGGCTTTATTCATAAATCACTAAAACTGGAAGCAACCAAGATAACTTCAACAAGGGAATGATAAATTAGTAGCCATGTGTTGGAATAGTATTCAGCAATAAAGAAGTGCAAGCTGTTGATTCACAAAACAACACGAGTGATTCTTAGATGCATATTATAAGAGAAAGAAGCCAGACCCAAAAGATTTATATTTTATGAGGCATTCCTGTGAATATTCTGGAAAAGGTGAAACTATAGGTACAGAAAACAAATCAGTGGTTGACTATAAAGGGGATGTGCAGAAGAACTTTCAGGTGAAAGAACTATTCTGTGTGGTGGTGAGGTGGTGAATACATAACTGTGCATTTGTCAAAACCCATAGAACTGTAGATCAGAAAGAGCGAACATTAATGTATGCAAATTGAAAAAAAAGACATCAAAAAAATGATCAACCCCAGGACAGACTCCAGCCTGTGACAAACGAGCCTAACTCTGTTCCAAATGAATGACATAAGTGCATTCAACATGGGGGTGGGGGATGAGAGGAGTGTCCTCCTTAGTCACTTTGGAAAATGATGTTTTGACTGGAAACTGAGGATAAAGACAAAAGATACATAAACACTATAGTTGGCCAATTTGTTTTCCAAGAAGATACTGGTTAACAATTCTGAAACTGCTTTATGTACATACTAGGCTTGAACAAATGAGTAAGTGTGTGGTGGGTGATGGGAGCCAGGTTTCTCACTATTGGAGAGGAAAGTTACAGATAAGAAAGGAAGGTTAGGATGAACTCTGTGGTTCTGGATTAGAGTTGGAAATGTCAATATGGGCTCATGTTTATCTTAGTATATGTACAGATGGATAGATACAGAAACAATTATATGTGTGTGTGTGTGAGTTTGTATACGTATGTGTATTACCAAACTGTCCACTGAGAGGGCCTAAAAGGAGTGAGATTCTTGTAGCAATGAGCAGGCTCAACACCCAGACCTTGGTTCTAAATACTGATCTCTAGGGTCAGCCCCGTGGCCGAGCAGTTAAGTTCACGCACTCCGCTTCGGTGGCCCAGGATTTCACCAGTTCAAATCCTGGGTGCAGACATCACTGCTCATCAGGCCATACTGAGGCAGCATCCCACATGCCACAACTAGAAGGACCCACAACTGAAAATACACAACTATGTACCGGGGGGCTTTGGGGAGAAAAAGGAAAAATAAAATCTTTTAAAAAATAAATACCTATCTCAAAGATAAGAAGCTTCTTGGAGAAATGGCTGATTCTAAGGTTGGGCCTGGAAACTGCAACATGAGCCTGTAGCACCTTGCACCAGAAAGTAAAGAAGTGCTCAAAAAATAAAAGGATGGAGGTAGGTCAAAGGGATATAGGAGCCAACGTGAAAGAAATCCCAATAGCCAAAGCTAGAACAATTTGAGCAAGAAAATAAATAATGTAGTATTTAGTGAGTAAATGTGGGCTGGACTTAGTGACTTGCCTTCAATGAATAAAGCATGGAAAGGGAAAATAGTAACTTTATAGTGGAGGAACCTGGCAGACATTACCTTAACCAAGTGATCAAGGTTAACATCATGAATAATGTCATGTGGATATCATGTGGTCCCTGACGTGTGACGAGAAGGGCACTTCACCTCTATGGTATTTTTTCCTAAAACCTATAACTCTGGTCTGATCATGAGAGAAAACCATCAAACAAACCCATGTTGAGGGACATCCCACAAAATACCTGACCAAAAAACTTCCAAGGTCTTGAAAAACAAGGGAAGACCGAGAAACTGTCATAGACTGGAGGAGACTAAGGAGACATGATGCATTACTGCAAAGTGGTACCACGGACTGGATCCTGGAGTGGTAAACGAGCATCAGGAGAGAAACTGGTGAAGTCTAAGTAAAGCTTGGAGTTTAGTTGATGGTAAGGTATCAGGGTTGGTTTTTCAGTTTTAATAGATGTACCGTGGTAATGTAAGATTATAACATCAGAGAAATCTGAAACTGAGGTATATGGGAACTCTCTATATTATCTTGGCAACTTTTCTGGAAATTTAAAATTAAAATAAAAAGTTTATTAAAAGTAGGTTATGAAACAGCATGTAGAATATAATTTCATTAGGAAAAAGTCTGTACATAGATCTAGATGTGTTTATGGGCATTGATAGGTAATTTAGTAAAATGTTTACCAAATTATTAACAGTGATAGGGTTTGGAGACAATATTACTTTTTTGTTCTGTTCTCTAATAATTAGACTTTCTCTAATTAGCATATATTATTTTTTATAAAACAATAACACTTTTAAATGTAACAATAAAAGATACTTTCTTTCCAGCTACCTTTCCTAAAATTATTTCTCTAATAATTTTTCCATCAGAACTTTTATATGTATTTATCAAGTGAAGTGGGGAAAAAAATGAAAAAAAGAGACATCCAGAAAAATAGAAGATATGTTTACATGTCATAAAAGAATATTAAATGACAGAAAAGTTTCATGTTAATCAAATGAAAAAAGCTGATTACAAGCAATATATCCAGTACTGTTTTATTTTGTATTTCTCTGTATTCTAAATTTACTACAATGAGCAGATATTACTTTTATTATTAAAAAAATGCATTAGTATTTTCATGGCATGACAGACATCAGAGCTATAATTAGAATTTGAGTTCAAATTTTCAGGTTAAATCTTTTTAGAATTTTTCTGGATAATATAAACTGCTTGAAATTACTTTATCTTAAAATTTAGACACAGCTAACTCCCCTACAAATTAACTTATATTAAATCATTATAGGGCATAGTAATCTTTATATTTATTTAGCATATATTTTGAAAGGTGTAGAAAAATTTATAAAATACAAATTCTGCCTGTCCCCAAGGATGAGAGTAGGTGAAGAGTGCATTTCACTAAATTTTAAAACCCTTTGAAAAGTAAACAAGAAATATCACTTTTTTATCAGAAGTATGGACCTTGTATTTACCCAGAGAATCAAAAAGCATTAATATACTTTTAAAAACAAACTGGCCCGGGTTCAGTATTTCAGGAACATTTATATCCTAAGAGTATAGCGTCTGAGTTTCCTGAGTGCCTTCTCTGCGTCAGGCACTGTAGATACTACGACTCATTAAATCCTCAAAACAGTCCTGTGAGTATACGTGGTATTAACCTGATTTTATAAATGCAGAAGCTCAGGCTCAAAACAGTTGGGTAACTTACCCAAAATTGCATACTGTAGGTATTCAGTAAATTTGTATTAAATTATTTGTAAATTAAACATTTTTAGAACTCCAACACTCCTATAGCATTCAGAGTGCTTTATGTACAAATAATTCCACATAAACATATCACCCAAAGTTCATACTTTTTGTACAAGCTAATGTAAAAATTACTACACATGGAGTGACAATTATGATGGAATTTTCAGTAAATATTTTTAGGCTGCTGATTTTATTTGATCTTACTTTTAGGAAAGTTTTAAAACATCGGGCAAACCAGTTTTTTCTGCATACTTGTCATTCTGATTTTAATAAGTTCAGGTTTCTACTTTATGTTTTAGAGTAATTGCATTTAGTAGCCAAACATTTAGTAATCACACTCTTGTACTTTCTGTTTTAGGCAGAAAATGTAACAGTGACAAAGGATTTTAGAAGAGTGGAAAATGCTTATCACATGGAAGCAGAGGTTTGTACTTAATTGGAAACAGTGTGGCTTTATGGGGACAGTTTGCATTTATTTTTATTCTTCAACTGAAATATACAGGAGAAATGCTTCTCAAGGTGTTGATAAAAGATTATTTTTCTCATAATCATTTTTGGTGTTACGTATCTGTGTGAGCTTTTAAAATAAATTTAATAAGATTTACTGAAGATAAATTGTTTTGAAATGAAATAAACCGAGCAAAGGAGAAGTAACAGTTAATTGCCACCTAAATAAAATTTTAGTAATGTTATCATCTAGTGAGCAGAAAATGCTACAGGAGAGAAATGTCTTCTCAGATTAAAAAAAAAAATAAAGTGATAACATAAAGGATTGAAACACTTATCAACATTCTTTTGTTTCACGATGTAATTTTATTGTGTTTTGGTAAGTCAAGGTTTATTTAAAAATAAAAACTACTCAACCTTTGCATAAATTTAAAAAAGCAAAATATCTTTTGTACACTCAATGATAACATTAGTTCCTACAACTGCCTATACTTTTTACTTATCTTTAAAGATTTTATGATCAGGATTTTATGAAATGAGAGTGTGTTATAGTTGTGATTAGGGTGCAGATTCCAGACATCTTGGGGGTATGTGCTTAGTCCGTGCGGCCTCCTTGCCACAGGAAACAAACAAGAAAGGGGTTAGAGTGGAATCTTGTTTATCTAGTCAGAGAATCTTTGTCTTTAGAGGTAGAAAATACCTCAAGAAATCAACTAGTCCTACCTTCAGGCAGATAATGTATTTTTCTAATTTTAAGGGTGTGACCTTAGCCTCAGATTGCTTGGTCTCAGACTTCTCAAAGATCATGTTACAAGAATTAGATTGGAAATTAGAATCCTAACTTCTTATCTCTTGAGATAGTAATTTCCATTTTTTATAGTTTTGTGACTTCTCCACTTAAAATTTAACTATCTCAAGGGATTCAAAATGGCTCATGATGACTTTAGGGATCCATTTGGCAAAAGCTATTTTGTAGCAATGGGGACTGAAAACTACCTTTCAAAACAGGATGAAGAGCAGTCTGGTAAGATTCTGTGTCACAGGGTCAAAAGCAGAGAGCTGTTCCAGCATTCCTGCAGTAGTTCCTACCTGACAGGGCTTCAGGTTGTAGTGAACGGAGAGAGGCCCGGGTTATCTTAGTTAAGGGGGTTTATTGTGAGGGTACACCAGGGAGTAAGGAGGAAAAGGAACAGTCCTAGCAAACACACAGCCAGGCTTCGTGGAAAACTGGAGTGTTTTTCACAGAGTGGTTCTTCAGACTGACCCTTCAGGTATAGAAAGCGCTTTAGAGCTGCTGCTTTTGTTATAAAACATGACTAAATGAGGGCTTCGCTAACCTCTGCCCCTCTTCCTTCTGCTATACTTACCTTGTTAATGTCTCGTATTCAAATTTCTTGAGAAAATCTGATTATATTTTGTATAAGGCCTCCCTGGTAGCCAGAACTCTTATATCACATAACCCAGCACATAATCGTCCTTAGGTCAGCATTAACAGTCCACAGAGACCAGCTTGAAGGGCCACCAGGTACAAAGTATGCCAAGCTGTGTGTGAAGAACAATGTGGCTTCATGGCTGTGGATGTCGTGAACACTGAAACCTAATGTCTGATATACACCATGATGGACACTTAAATGTGTAGAATAAGATTAGATGGTAGAAATTACTTTTCACGTAATGTCTAAAATTTTCATCCTGAAAAGCACTTTAGAGATTCTTTATCTACCTCCCACCTACTCTGCTGCTTTTCCTTATTTTAAAGATAAGGATATTGAAAGTTGGAAATTATCTAAGTGACTTCTTTAAGGGTGAGTATTTGTGGAGCGAGGGGTTAGATTAAAACCTTGGCTTTATAATTTCTATATCTTTACTCTTTTCCACTTCTCATGTTGTTTTCCTGTCATAATCTTAGTGTTAGGAGGGAATTTAAAAGCCTGGAATATAATAGGCATTCAGTAAAGTCTGTTGAATGGAGAAAGGAGTATAACCACTCATGCAGTCTTCCCCCTCTCTTTCCTTGCATGTCTGCCATGTATCGGGTGTTTTTCATATATTATCTCATCTAATCTTTTTTTTTTTTTTTTGGTGAGCAAGATTGGCCCTGAGCTAACATCTGTTGCCTAGCTTCCTGTTTTTGCATGAGGAAGGTTGTCACTGAGCTAGCATCTGTGCCCATCTTCCTCTATTTTGTATGTAGGATGCCTCCACAGCATGACTTGATGAGCAACGTGTAGGTCTGCACCCAGGATCTGAATGTGCAAACCCAACCATTACGCCACCCAGCTGGCCCCTCTCGTGTAATCTTTTTTAACTCTTCATTTTTGTTGTGGAATATTTTATACTTAGTCATGAATATAAAAGGCCTATTCCATTTTAAGACATCTAATCCATATATAATTTTTTAACATTAAACCAAAATTGACTCACTAGTACTCATCCATTATTAATAGTGTACCTCTCCAAGAATAAAACAAGGCTCATACTTCTTCCTTGAAGTATATACTTGAAGTTCAGTATCATATTGATGCTAATGTTTTCTTCTCCAGGGGTAAGAATCCCGTTTCTTTGGCCATTTGTTATGTGACAAACTTTTTCTTTAGTCAACCAATTTCCTCCTAAAGCATCTACAACAATAGTGTCCTTGTTATGATTTGGCCAGTCCATGTTAGAGAAAGGTGATTACCTCCCTTATTCTGGAATGTTTATTTCTAATGAGACACTTAAAACTGATGTAACTTTTTGGCACTTGCATCACATTGTTCCCTTCTGTCAAGTTTACAGTCATAATCAATAATGACAACTAAAAAAGTGTCTTTCTCACATCCTGCTTTTAAATCCTCCTCCTGCTATCTTATACTTTGTTATTGCTGTTTCACAATGGAGTGTGGGATTTTACAGTTATCTCTGTAATATTTTATCCAGTAGATTTCATCTATATTTCCAGCCTGTTAGGATCTTTTTGGATCTTGATGTTACCAGGCAGTGTTTATATGTAGTCCTACCAGCTTTATGTCATCAGCTGATTTGATCATCAGTGTGCCCATCTATGTAATTAATAAAAATATTGAGTAGCATTAATCAACTACGCACAGACCCCTCCCCCCCCACAGGTAGGAGCACAAGCACACACACGCACACACACAGACCCCCCTCCCACAGGTAGGAGCACCAGCAGCTTTGGAACCAGTCAGACCCAGGTTTAAATTCTGGCTCTGCCACTTTCTTTTCTGAAAATGTTTTTTATTAATTAATTTAAAAATAAAAATAATAAATTTATATGCTAACATAAATAACATTGTTTTGAATAATAACTATAAACAAAAAGAATTTGGAAGAGTGGCACTGGTTTACATTTTTGCAAATCTCTCTCTCTCTGGCTTAATAGAAGATACCTGGATTGTCATGTGTGCTTCTGCATCGAATCTGATGTGTCACATAATATCTGTATAGAATCTGACATATCACCTCATCTGTAGATCACATGTTATGTAGCCTCTGAGAAACTCGTCTCTCAGGAAAGAATAGGTGAAAAAGGTCAATAACGCCAGTATTATCATGAAAATAGTTTTGATCTGACAGCCACTCTGCAAGGGATCCCGTGACCACTCTTTGAGCATGCCTGAGCTAGCGTATGGGACCTTGTCTGCCTGTTGTGAGCTGTCTCTGCTAATGTTCCCCCTCCCCACTGAGCACACTGGCTTTAGAAGAATGAATTTTAATGAAATTGTGTGGTAAAATAAGGATATGTACATGTTATATCAGACTATACCTGCAATATATAGTTAACAGTATATAGTAAAAATAAACACCTGAATTAGTTAGGGAACAGTCTAACCTGCTGTAACAAATAGACCCAAAAAACACAGTGGCTTAAACAAGATATGAATGTGTCTCACTTCTAACAACCGGAGGTACTCAGTCCAATGATAGTAGGTCAGCTCTGCAGCCTTACTCACAGCATCCATCTCTGTACCTAGGTGGCTCCTCCAGTTCCCACCATCATACTATATTCCAGCCAGTGGGAAAGGAGAAAAGAAAGGGGAGCATAAGCCCATTCCTTTTAAGGACTTGACCCATCACTGCTGCTTACCTCTCTTTACCCAGAACTCAGTCACACTGATGCGAGAGAGATTCGGAAATGTAGTCAGACGCCAATGCCCAGCTACAACTTGTGAGTTCTATCATTAAAGAAAAGAGAAACAAGAATGGATATTGGTAACTGTATTAGTGTGCTTGGGTTGTCATAACAAAATGCCACAGACTAGGTCACTTAAACAACAGAAATTTATTTTCCCACAGTTCTAGAGGCAGGAAGTCTGAGAACAGGGTGCCAGCAGGGTTGGCTTGTGGTGAGGGCCTCTTCCTGGCTTGCAGATGGCTGCCTTCTCACTGTGTCCTACATGGTGGGCAGAGAGCAAGCAAGTTCTCTGGTGTCTCTTATGTAGACCTAATCTTCTTAGATTAGGGCCCAACCCTTATGACCGCATTTAACGTTAATTACCTCCATAAAGGCCCTATGTCCAAAGACAGTCATGTTGTGGGTTGAGGCTCAACATAAGAAGTTTGAGGAGATACAGTCATTCAGTCCATAACAGTAAACTAATTAGGATTTTCTGTCAAACCAACCAATTTAGGGATTAGACCTAGAATCGGTTTCATTGACACCGTGACATACTGAATTATAAACCTGTTGGTCATAGAGACCCATAATAAATACAGGCATATCAGAGATATTGTAGGTTCAGTTCCATACCACTGCAATAAAGCAAACATCAAATAAAGCAAGTCAAGCAAATTTTTTGGTTTCCCAGTACATATAAATGTTATGTGTACACTATATTATAGCCTGTTCAGTGTGTGATAGCATTACGTCTAAAAAAAACAATGTAAATACCTTAATTAAAAAATGCTGGGCCCAGCCCCATGGCTGAGTTGTTAAAATTCTGTGCACCCTGCTTCAGCAGCCCAGGTTCACAGGTT